CATCATCACCATCGTCATCACCATCAACATTATCATGGCAGCCGTTGCCATTACAATCAACACTCTGAGCAACTTCACAACCAAGGCCGTTATGCTCATCTTCATCGACGTCATCCGCATCCTCATCCTCCTGCCCTTCCTCGCCCTCATCATCCTGCATCATAATCGAGATCGGTGTCAACATCTCCTTCCTCATCACCCTGCTCCCCCTCGTCATCGTCATCATCACCACCTGCCCAAACACAAGCATCCACTTCATCGTGCAACATCACCGTCGTCTTCATCGTGTTCATAAAGTGTCTCTGCGCTCTGCTGAACGGGCATGGGCCCTCACACCATATGGTTTGGAACTTAGAAGCCATGGCTGGCAATGTTGCACCCTACAAGCAGCCCCGAAAACCGCGGGCTCAGAATCCCCAAAGCTTGCGGCCCCCGAAATGGCTTCCGGCTGAGATCACGATAGGAACCCTGTCCTTCGACTTCGAAGCCCCAAATAAATAGATCCCGATATAAGTGTGATATACCCCAAGACTCTGGACGACTCTTTACTTCACTCGGGGGCCTCATGCGACTCCAATTCCGGGCTTCTTGACAGCATGTGCTCCTTATCACCTCCTATGAAGCATCAAGCAAACCCCTCGAAAATCCCGTCTACAACCCCGCAAGGCGAACAAAGACCGAGCTCATCAGGAGTCCTGCCCGTGACACAGCTCCATCACCAGCCACAGATGTCTCGACGTCTCAAAGTACCTGTAACATACCCCCACTTGACTTGTTTGACTTTAAAGGATGGAGAATTTAGGGCCTAGTAGGTGTTGTAGATTCAGCAGTACAGGATCTAGGGACTTGCTTGCGGGATCTGCTGTGTCGTCTGTGGAGGCTGATGTTCTTCTGCTGCTTGCCGGCAAGTCGTCTTGTCTACTGCAGGCAACTTCGCGGCGATGAAGAGGATGCACGCAATATAGGGGCTTTAGTGATTTCCTATACTCGGGGGTTCCTTATCATAAGTATGGTA